GCTGGATATTAATTTGTGTTAGAGCTACGATTTAGAGGGTTTTGAAGCGCTTCAAAAATAATGCATTATTGGTAAAAAAACAACCAGACGCTGATTTCTAATCACATAATTGTTCTCAAAACTTAATCAAGATGTTGACTGAATTTATGGAAGGACATAATCTGGAATTATGGTATGTTATAGTTATATATTACAGTTGAAGTCAGAATTATTAACCCTCCTGTTACATTTTCATTATTTATTTCCCCAATTTCTGTTTAATGGCAAAAAAATGTTAGTCCCATATATTAAAGTGTCGCTTATACCTTTGAGCTTACACGGTAATTGTGTATGTACACATTGGTACATAGGTTTTACTTGTGTAATACTGGTGTAACTACACACGTAACAACACACAATAGTATGTGTAAGTTCAAATGTGTAACAGGACATTAATAACACAATCTTTGATAAACTACCACTTTAATTTGTATTACTGATGTGATCCTACAATTCCCCTTTTAACAACATAAGTCATTTGTTTATTTCTATATACACTTATACTTTTTTGGCAGAAGTTTGCTGTTTTTAAACAGTTGCAGAAAGGCTTAGGTTTTATATATTAGTAATTTGTGAAGAGAGGACAGTTCCTGAGGATGTACCCTGTAATCACACTGGTATCACAAGGTGAAGCCTTCTAATACAGTGTTAGTTCTGCCATTCTTATTCTAGCAGTGTTCAGAATGCAAACAGGTGTGGAAGTGGGAAAACATCTGCAAGTATATTGCTACACAATGAATGTAGGCTATGTAATTTATGTTACAGATGTGTACTTTTTTAGTGTTACCAATATCCTGTTACACATTTGAACTTACACATACTATTTAATGTGTTGTTACATGTGTGTAATACACCAGTATTACTCAAGTAAATACTATACCAGTGTGTACATACACTGCAGTTACATACTCATCTAGTTACCATGTGAGTTCACAGGTATAAGCGACACTTAATATAAAGTTTATATTTGCCATGATGACAGTACATAATATTTTTTATTGTATTTTTGACGAAAACTACAATACATTGCAAGTATTCAATAACAAAGGTATTTTTTGTTTTTTGCTTCTTTTTTTAAACGACACACTAAATTTAAGACAGAGACAAATAAACATAATAAATATAATTTAAAAAATGAATAAATTAAATAAGAAAATTTTTAATTTGAATAAAAAAACACCTATGAGGGTAGGGGGAGGGGTGGATTCAGGGTTCAAGGAGTACATTATTCTCAATATGAATTATTAAAGGGTCCCATGTTTTGAAAGAATTTGTTTAGTTGATCCTCTGAGAAAATATACATTTTTTTCTGTTTTCAAAAATATCATTACATCACTAAGCCAAAGTGACAGTTTAGGTGGCATTAGTGATTTCCACTTTATAAGAATTCTTCTTCTGGCTATTAACGTTGCAAAAGCATTTTCTATTTCTTTAGTCTTATGCATGTCCTCATTTGGTACTCCAAACAAAGCCATAAGCGGATTAGGTTGAATTCTTTAATTGAAGGCTGAATTTAAAATCTCAAACACTGAAGATATATATATATATATATATATATATATATATATATATATATATATATATATATATATATATATATATATATATATATATATATATCAGTTTTTGGGATAAAAGAACCCCCCCCCCTTCTCTAGACTGGCTACGGACCTGTTTTAGTGATATATTTTAAGCACTATGTTTTGCTGGATTAGCTTGTCAGATGGTCATCATAACCACACTTTTTGAGGTATCAAAACATTTGCTCGATACACAGAATAAAGAAATATGAAAAAAAAACTTATCTTTAAATACAACTTTAGTACATCATATTACAACAAAAAAGGAGTTAAAGTTTTAAATGATTAGCCTATTGTCATTTATTGGACTAATAGCAAACTGTCCAGCACATTCATCTTTCCCCAGGCAGAATTTGGCCATTTGAATATAATAACATTTAAACATAACAATATTAATAACGTAGAGCTTGACATTTTTATAGTCTCTTCTGCCCCCCCAAAAAACTTTTTTTAAAGTTCATGGATAACAAAAATAGTCTAATTTGTATTAAATTTAATATGGGCTTCAAACCTTTACTCTAATTTTTCTTTCAAGAATAAGTTCCAAGATTCAGAAAAAAAAGTTGGGCTGCTTGATAAATGACTTTCGTTGTATTGAATGTTTTCTTGCAAAGCTGGATGATGAGCTCATGAAAAATAATTGTTTGCAATCAATGGAAATCTTCTTTGATGGATTATATTCACAAATAATGAAGGCATAGCAGTCAAAATAAGACAAATTAGCATCTATGGGATAAATTCTAGATGTTTTATTAGTGGGGGATGGGTCTTTCTTTTCGAACCACCTGAACCCCCCTGGCTACGGGCCTGTACTATTGATATTTTTCTTTAATTTATAAATAGTTCTTAATATTTATAGATAGAGGTTCAGAATGATATTTTTCAATAATGATATTTTGACAATACTTATTATGTTACATTATTTACAATACTGCTTGAAAGTTTGTAAACCTCAGAATCTGCAAATATGTAAATAATTTTGGACCCATTTCACAAGATCTTTAATGGTCATCATCTTAATAAAAAAAAAACAACAAAGTACACGTATATGTATTTACATACATATTATATCATCTTTGCATTAAATTACAAAAAAGCGAATTACCACTTATGCAAGGTGTTTGAAATGGGGCAGGACAGAAAATATGTTGTTGTTCCCTCCTGTTGTTATCAATCATCTCACACATTTTATTTTCTTTTATCTGAAAGTCTTGATAACATCATCATGGAGTTTTTCTTTTTAATTATTCTTTTCTTATTTTTATTATAGTTTACCCATGAATACTTCCACTACTGAGAAACCAGGTGAAAAGGGGCTCCATTAAAAAGATTTTTTATATTTAATTTGAACTTTGTGACATCAGTGATCCTAATATTTTTTTTATGCCGACATTTTGTTTTAGAGTAAGTGGACACAAATCAGCAACACCAAATTCAATAAATCCATTGCTAATCCTTACCTGCAAACTTCATTTTTTTTCCCACCAAAATGTGTCATCGACTAAAAGATTATACTCTTCAACCACTCATCACTGTTGGCTGAAATTATTATTTTAGAAAGTCAGAGTTAATACTCCTAAGGAAATATATAATTAGAGAAAATTCCTTTCAGTGGTCTTTGCATATAAATTATTCAGATTTACCAAACTGCAATTTTTTTTCCTGTCAAAATGGTGTCACTGACTGAAAGATGGTGCTGTAAACTACTCTTTTCTGTTGGTTGAAAGTGAGAAATTGTTACTGTTTAAGAGTTTTAGAGTTAAAATTCCTAAGAAAAGATATAGAGAAAATTCCCAACCTGCAAAATAAATTACAATTGACTAGCAAATTCTCAGTGAAACTGTTACATACTATTGTGTTACTTTACGTTTTGTTAAAAAGAATCACATCATAAAACTTCAAGCGATTGATCCCAAAATAGTCGTAACAACGTTTCCCCGCCTTTTTTTCAGTAATGGTGTCGGACACTGGCAGTAAAGTCCAGGTGGGATACAGCTGAGAATGCTCACATCAATAATATAGCATAATTATTATGGCCCAGTACAACAATAATTCATATTTTTTACATTACTGCAGGGGCGGACTGGCCATCTGGCAATTCTGGCAAATGCCAGAAGGGCCGGACCATCTTTTAAATGTGGGCCGGTCAGCTATTTTTTTTTATTTTTTTTTATATGTATTGTTTTTTACATGTAAGCAGCTTTTATCTCTTGCGAGATGTGAATATTATGATGATGATTATGATAATAGTAAGAATATTAATCAATGTTAAGCATTGGCCAAATCGGCAACGACCGGCTGGTTTCGAGATGGGCCGACCCAATCAGAGGTTATGCAAACATAATCAAAATCAAAATGCAAGGATGTCAAACACACAGTAAGTGCGACAAATTGATGGAGATGGACCATAAAAAGAGAAAGGCAGTCAAGTCAGACAATCCCAAATACATCAAATTAACTGAACTGAACTAGTCTCGAAAGGGGGCAGTGCAGTGGCGCAGTGCAGCGCTGTCGCCTCACAGCAATAAGTTTGCTGGTTACCTCAGCTGGGTCAGTTGGTGTTTCTGTGTGGAGTTTGCATGTTCGCGTGGGTTTCCTTCACAAGTCCAAACACATGCAATAGGTGAAATGGGTAGGCCGATTGGGAATTGGGTAACCCAGTAATGGGTTGCAGCTTTGAGGGCATCCGCTGTGTAAAACATAAGCTGGATAAGTTGGTGGTTCTAAGATTAATAAAGGGACTAAGCCGAAAAAAAAATGAATGACATGATTGCATATATAAATGGGTTGTTTTTGTTTTAGTCACACACATTAAATGTTTAAATATCTCTTAAATATGTTACTGCTTATATAATTTTACCATCTGTACACCAATATAAGCTGGGAATGTGCGTGTCCGTGGATGGGGCTGTGTCGGTGTAGTAATGTGGGCTGGTGTGGCTACAGTGCCAGGGCTGATTCTTAGTCCCAGTCCGCCCCTGCATTACTGTGATGATTAGGGTTGGGGTTGGGTTAGACGTTAATACAATTCAATTTAATGGGTAGTTTAATAAATATTATGAAAAATACTCGGTATATCACTGTTTTTACATTACAGTATACCCTGCTGAAAAATCCAGTTTAAACCAGCCTAAGCTGGTTGGCTGGTTTTAGCTGGTCGACCAGGCTGGTTTTAGAGGGGTTTTGGCCACTTCCAGGATGGTTTCCATTATAATGACTGGTTTAGGGTTGAGTGGACTTTAATAAAATAAAATTTGTATGTAATTCAATTAAACATATACATTTATCGGTCAATTCTCGGTAACTTTTTTAGCCGCATCTGTCAAATACATCTGTATCCCTTTTAGCAATAACCGTCACTGACCGCTAACAGCCGCTGTCGAGCTCGTGCGTGAGCTCTGACGTCACCGGATCACGCACAACTAGCGCGTGTGCGCGGAATGATAGAAGAGCTAAACACGCTTCTGTACGGAGGGAATTATGAAATCAAACAGTTTTCCAGCACAGTGATTAGAAAATCGTCATTCCCTTATCCAAATACCTTTATGAAGTAACCGAGTCATAGGAAACAGACGCTCGAAAATCAGCTTCGAAAAATAAACAGGCCCAGGACTGATTGAGATCCAGCCCAGCATGGACGGTACATACAACTTTAAATATGCTACATTTAACGCGTTTTCACGATGTTAAGCGGTATATTAACCTTGCTTTTGAAGCACGGCTGTTGTAACGGCAGCCGAAATGTTCAATTTTAGCACGCCGAGTTCGCTCTGAATTGCAAATCATGTTGAAACAGGAATAAGGTCCACCTCTGTGTTATGATGCATGTGTAGGTCGTCAGATGTTGTGCTCAGCTTGCTGGACACACTCCTGATCCTCAGATCTCCCTCAAATACATGGATCTTTTTAGTTTTTCGAGCGCATTTTGTTGTGTGTTAGCTGTATGAGTCTGTAGAGCTTCACATCAGTGGTGGTTAACACTGAAAGGGGGGTTTTAATGTGGTCTTCGTGTTGGACATACAGTGTGAATTTGTCTTCTGATGCAGGACATGGGGACGGTCAGAGCCGCTGGTGTCTGTCCCAGGTCAAAGGAGCCGTGGATGATGATGTAGCTGAAGGTAAGACCCTGCTTAATCAGGAAATACCACAATAAATGCACACTCCCTGAATACCACAGTTATTGCTGTGAAATCACCGTCAGCTAAAACTGCTGCTCAAACCATGAACTGAGTTAAAGTTGGCTTTTATATTCGCACATTTTGGACTTTCTCCTTATTATCATTTGAGAAAACTATTCTTTGCCAATTCTAAATAGTGGAGCCATATTAGCAGCCAATGACTATCAAAATATGACATTGTTTACAGTCAATTTAATAGTGCTAATGTTGTTTTGAAGTCATTCATACATGAGATTTTAGACCAAATATTCAAAGTAACATAGTAAACAAGCTATATATAATATACAAGTCGTCACTGAAGCGGAGTGCGAATTTAAAACCAACTTCACCTCACTAAGACAGGAACTATAGTTTGTATTTTAGCATTTAAGCTAATGTTGGTTTTATATTCACACATTTTGGACTTTCTCCTTATTATCATTTGAGAAAACTATTCTTTGCCAATTCTAAATAGTGAAGTCATATTAGCAGCCAATGACTATCAAAATATGACATTGTTTACAGTCAGTTTAATAGTGCTAATGTTGTTTTGAAGTCATTCATACATGAGATTTTAGACCAAATATTCAAAGTAACATGGTAAACAAGCTATATATAATATACAAGTCGTCACTGAAGCGGAGTGCGAATTTAAAACCAACTTCACCTCACTAATACAGTAACTATAGTTTGTATTTTAGCTTTTAAGCTAATGTTGGTTTTATATTCGCACATTTTGGACTTTCTCCTTATTATCATTTGAGAAAACTATTCTTTGCCAATTCTAAATAGTGGAGCCATATTAGCAGCCAATGACTATCAAAATATGACATTGTTTACAGTCAATTTAATAGTGCTAATGTTGTTTTGAAGTCATTCATACATGAGATTTTAGACCAAATATTCTAAGTAACATAGTAAACAAGCTATATATAATATACAAGTCGTCACTGAAGCGGAGTGCGAATTTAAAACCAACATCACCTCACTAATACAGTAACTATAGTTTGTATTTTAGCATTTAAGCTAATGTTGGTTTTATATTCACACATTTTGGACTTTCTCCTTACTATAATTTGAGAAAACTATTCTTTGCCAATTCTAAATAGTGAAGTCATATTAGCAGCCAATGACTATCAAAATATGACATTGTTTACAGTCAGTTTAATAGTGCTAATGTTGTTTTGAAGTCATTCATACATGAGATTTTAGACCAAATATTCAAAGTAACATGGTAAACAAGCTATATATAATATACAAGTCGTCACTGAAGCGGAATGCGAATTTAAAACCAACTTCACCTCACTAAGACAGTAACTATAGTTTGTATTTTAGCATTTAAGCTAATGTTGGTTTTATATTCACACATTTGTTCAGGGACAACTTGTGACACAGTCACTATATTGTTTACTAAGCTGCTTTGAATATTCGGTCAGAAATACCATGCAAGTAGGAATACAAAACAACATTAGCCCTATTTATTTAACTGAACCATGTTATACTTTGATAGTGTTTGGCTGCTAATAAGGAGAAAGTCCAAATGTGCGAATGTAAAACCAACTTTACCTCAGTAGTTATTTTTGTGAAATCATCGTCAACTAAAACTTGAGCTTAAAACACGAGTAATGATTCCTTGTATTATCTTAGCATTCGTTTTCACATTGAGGCAAAGTTGGTTTTATATTCACACAATCAGATTTTGTCCTTAATATAATTTAAGAAAAGCATTATTTGCAAATTTCTTCAAAGTATGACATTGTTCACAGTCAATTTAATACTGCTAATGTCTCTTGAAGCCATTCTTATATGAGACTTTAGACAGAATATTTCAAGTAGCATGGTGAACAATAGCTATATATAATATACAAGTCGTCACTGAAGGAAAGTGCGAATATAAAACATAAGTAATTTTTGCTTGTATTATTTTACCATTTTAAGGTAACGTTGGTTTAATATTCATAAATTTGTTCAGTGACAACTTGTGACAGTGCCTATATTGTTTACTAAGCTGCTTTGAATATTCAGTCAGGAATACCATGCAAGTATGAATTCAAAACAACATGAGCACCATTTATTTGACTGAACAATGTTGTACTTTGATAGTCATTGGCTGCTAATAAGAAGAAAGTCCAAATGTGCGAATAAAAAAACAACTTTACCTTAATAGTTATTTCTGTAAAATCATTCTCAACTAAAACTGGAGCTCAAAGCACGAGTAATGATTCCTGCTGAGGTAAATTTAGTTTTATATTTGCATATATGAACCTTCACTTTTTTAATATAATTTCAGAAAAAGTGTTCTTTGCTAATTCTAGATAGGGAGATCGTGTTAGTAGTCAATGACTATCAACGTACCACATTTTTCACAGAAAAAGTGTTCTTTGCTAATACTAGATAGGGAAATCGTATTAGCAGTCAATGACTATCAACGTACATTTTTCACAGTCAGCATAATAGCGCTAATGTTGTTTTGAAGCCATACTTGCATGCTATTTCTGCACTGTTTATTTGACTGAGAACAATGTTATACTTTAATAGTCATTGGCTGCTGATGAGGAGAAATCCAAGTGTTCGAATCTAAAATCAACTTTACCACAATAGATTTTTCTGTAAAATCATCCACAACTAAAACTGGAGCTGAAAACTCTAAAACTGAACCCATGCCTTTTTACTCAAAGGTGAAGACCACACTCAGTGTTTCTGCTGCACAACTCCCCTTACTGTAAAACACATTTTACTGGACTGTCCTGCTTTTAATGATTACAGAAGGCTTTTTTTATGAAATGTACTCTATGGACATTTTTCACAAAGTGACACTATAGGAAAAATCTTATTTAATTTATGTATTAATGTATTGGTTGTTTTTAATTGTAAATTTATTATTGAAATGTTATTGCCATGAAAGTAGCCTTGGTAGCTGACATGACTTTAAATCAAAATACTTTACATATTCACACATTCACACGTTGAGACTTTTTCCTTAATAATATAATTTCAGAAAAGTATAGTTTGCAAATTTTAAATAGGGGAATCATTTTAGCAGTCAATGACTTTTAAAGTTCGACTTTCATGATTATTTTATTTTTAATGACTTTTGACTTTGTTCACAGTCGATTAAATAGTGCTAATGTTGTTTTGAAGTGATACTTGCATGCGATTTCTGACCGAATAGTCAAAGTAGCATAGTAAACAATATAGAGACACACATTGTCATTTTTAAAAAATGAACAAATGCGCAAATATTAAACCAACTTTACCTCGGTAAAATATGAGTAATGATTTATTTTGTAAAGTTGCTACAGTGCCTATATTGTTGACCATGCTGCTTTGAATATTCGGTCAGAAATATCTTGCAAGTATGAATACAAAAAAACATTAGCATTATTTAATTGACTGTGAACTAGGGATGCCACGGTTCCCAATATAATATTGAACCGTACGGTTCGACCTCCACGGTTCAATACGCGCTTGTGAATTGCTGTTTTCTCGGTTTTGTGTTTAAATAATATGTGTAAGTTTTATATCTCCCCGATCTGACTGTGTGTGCCTGTAAGTCCATAAGCTGAGAAAAGGAAACTCTTTCCCGCGAGTAAATATCCAATCATATGCTCTAAAGTTAGGGGGCGCTTGACCATCATTCCACACTTTAACATGGCGAGTGGCGGTAAAGTGAGGTTGAGGCAACAGTTCAAGGAAGCGCCGGCGAAGTGAGGCAACAGTACGAGACAGTACCGACGTCTTTCAAATCTGCAGTGTGAAGACATTTAGATTTTGCCGGTTAGCATAATACCAACAAAAGAAAAAAACTGTGAATAAAAAATAACTGTTTGCAAGCATTGTTTTACACGTATAACCATGACTGCACATCTGCAGCTCCATCACCCAGCAATATCACTGTCTGAAGGCAGGATAGCAGAGAAGGTAATAAAGTCCTCCAAATAGCAACAATCCCTCGCTGAATCTTTCAAGCAAACATACCCAACTGGTTCCGAGAGACAAATAAAATAATAAAGGCAGTGCGGGTGTTTATTGCTAAAGATTTGCAGCCGTTTTCGGTGATTGGAGATGTGGGCTTTTGTCATCTTATAAAAGCACTTGATCCGCATTACAGACTACAGTCTCGGATTTTTTCAGCACCGAGATAATTAAGATGGTTTATTTATGTTTACTTAAGTACAAATATGTTTATTTAAAATGACCAATTTATCTTTATTACTTTCACATGTATGTTTATTTTCAAAGTGCAGGATTTTATGTGTTCCCCAGTTTGTACATGGGTTACAAGAAGCGGTAAGATTTCAGTGTTAATTCTTTTATACAATACACTAGGAACTACTGTACTTTTCTTGGCTTTTCAGTAAAACAAAATAAGTATTGCAATAAAAAATATATATTTTTTTTTTTCCTTAACCTCTTACTGTTCCTATTGCCTATAGAATAAAATAAAAAAAGCATGTGTCAAGCCATGAGAACCGAACCAAACCGAAAACTGTTAAAAATTATGTATTAGGTATGTATTGAACCGTGGGCTAACTCTTTTGTTTCATACCTACTGTGAACAATGTTGTACTTTGATAGTCATTAGCCCCTTTCACACAGTGATACCGGTAAATTTCTGGAAAATTTCCGGAACGACTTTACCGGTATATTGAAAAAAGCGCTGTTCACACAGGCGAGGACGTTACGGAAATTTTCCGGAAAAGAGCATTCACACATCCATTCCAAAATACCGGTAAATTCTGACATCCTTCACCACAAATGAGCTCTAAACGGCTGCGCTTGTGTTTGTAAACATTTGACTAAATTACAAACTCTGTGGATGATCAATTTTGTGAACAACTTTCGCAGGATCACTTTCGCATGTCGAGATGTTCATAATATGTGCGTGTGCAGGCGCTCACAGGCTGTTTCACAGGCACACGCAAAGCTTGAAGGTAAACGAACAACGGCTTATCATAAGCATCTCATCGATGATTATTTACACAGTTGGCATTAAGAAGAACATATAAACGTGATCTGACTAACTTCTAGCATCTAAATGTGTCTGGAAAAATATTCAAAGGCTTTTATTCTCATAAACCGTGCGGACGTAAATGCGTCTGACTGTTGTGATTGGCTAAAGCAAACGTCTCACCTCAGCACGTTCTACACGTGCACGCGCTTATTACGGCAATCTTCCTTCTGCATTCACACAGCGCAGCATTCCGGCAAATTACCGGTAATGTTACAACTTCTTTCCGGAAAATAGCCAGAACGAATTTTCCGGTATTTTCAAAAAGGACCTGTTCACACATAAAACCTTTCCGGAAAATTGCCGGCAATTTTCCGGAAAGGTCTGTATGTGTGAAAGGGGCTACTGACTGCTAATAAGGAGAAAGTTGGTATGTTTTATATTTTGGCTACAATTGTTATAAAATTATTTTTGGCTACAAGTATTGAATTGTTCATATGTAATCTCTCGTTTACTAAATATATTATCAGCTATTAAATGCTCACAGTCAAATAACAGAAGAACTGGGATAACAGTTCATAGTTTAGAAAATCACCATCATATGCGATTAACTTGATGCTCAAAAATGAAAGTTGTAGGTAGCAATTTCATTGTTTAAGCAATAGGTAGTGACAACCAGCCATTAAAAATATGCCACTGAATAATTCTTTGAAAATAATCTATCCAGCAATGAAACATGAAGGTTTATAAGTAAATAACTGAATCACTTATTGAAAATGAGACAAATATATATGAGGTGTACAAATTACAATGGTTGATTTCTACATTCAGCGTTATCAGCAACATTAGTAGTGACAGACGATTTTTCACAGTACTAAATTTATTTTTATTTAGCTGTGTTGTCTTCACGTGTACACAGCTGCTGCGCTCGTGCATCCAGGTTAATCATGAACAACTCAACATTATTTAAACTCAACTCGCATGCGCTTGTTGCACTATGGCGGTCTGATTATGTTTTAATCAAGGTTTATATGCATCAAATACATAACATCTGTGCCAAACATTTTAACTGACGAACATATTAACAATAATACAACCGTATAGCCGAATTAAATGTATGCATTGGCATGTTACAGCCCTAATGAGTATGATTATGTGAAACTCCATAAAGATACTTATTGCAATGATTTCGGGTATCTACTTAGCGATGCACGCACACATAAATGCTCAATCCTTAAATGTTCTGCTGATTTGGACTCTATAATACCTGTTTTATAACTTTAAACTATCAACAACCACCGCTGAGCTATATTCCATCGATCTTTCTTCCCGCTCCGTGGTGGATTTTGGCATAGTCCATTTCACGTGAGATGGCGGGGGTGAGTGGAAGGAACCAAGTCGCGTAGGGAATATTTTCTACAGAAATAATTAAAGATTTCTTATGTGGCCCGGTACCAATTGTTCCACGGACCGGGACCGGTCCGCGGCCTGGTGGTTGGGGACCACTGCGGTACACCACTAGTTAACAAGTACAGCTTGGCATTTTAATAATACATTAGTTAATGTTGAACTTTTTTTAATAAATGCTTTATAAGATTATTTATGCTTAGGTAATGTTAGTAAATGCATTAACTAATGGACCATTCTAAAGTGTTACCAATAATGTAATTAGGCTCTAGTTAGTGTTTCATTTGTGCTTTGACTCCGAATTCCATCTGTTTGCATCAAAAATATGTTTCATTTGTGTTTACTTGAGATTAAATTGTGCATGTGTTGTAAGCAAAGGATTTGTTCTCTGCATTGAGTCAGATCATGGCACAGCCCAGCACAGCACTGCTGCCCGTCACAATTATACGACAGAGAAAGAAAGAGAGATAGATTGTTATTCTTAGTGAACGGCGGGATGGGGGTTTGTTGGATGGCACTGTGTGTGCAGATGCCCGAGATGCTTTTAATGCCAGGCTCCGCATGTTCCCGCCCACACGCGCACAAATACAAGCAGTCGCTTATCTCCTCAGAAACATTCAGCCAAACAATATGGTCTCATAGTTGTGCTTTTCAATAATTCATGATTGTGTGTGTATATGTATGTGTGTGTCGCAGCTGACATCATCTCTGCGGTGGAGTTCAATCATTCTGGGGAGCTTTTGGCCACAGGAGACCGAGGTGGAAGAATAGTGATCTTCCAGCAAGAGCAAGAGGTGAGATGGATTACAGTTCATTAAGCACAACAATTAAGGCGTGGAGAAAAAATCGGCTGTTCATACTTGATAATGTTTTTTTTTTTAATGCAAAAGCAGACAAATAAAGCATATTCTACATATGCAGTATTGGCACCTCTTTGTGTTTAGTGTAGGGCTGTCCACACTATTTGTTGTGTGATGTGTTGCACCAAAAGTAATAGGGGTATGTTATAATATTGACATTTTAGGATAAATTTATGCCACTCATTATGTAATGACAGTATGGCTACTAGGGTTGTCACGATTCTGGTATTCGGTACCAATAAATGTTGAAGTTTTAAAAACGTCCATTTCCCACTACCATTTGAGCGCTGTTGAGTAGTTCTTAAACAGCGCTGATTTGCCATTGTGTTCACATGCTCAACAGAAATGTTCTTGATTGGCCCTGAAGGTCATCAGTTCACCGAACTCACCACTGTTTGAGTGTAACTACAGATAAAGGGACACTGAAGCATTTTAAAGTCACGTCTTTTAGCTGGTGTTTCTGTAGGCTGACATTCGAGCGACCCACTGATGAATCCTGGAAATTAAAACGCTCCAGTTTCCCTGTAACTGTGGTTACACTTAGTAAACAGCAGTGAGTTTAGTAAATTTGATGACCCTCACGGCCAATGTCATTCAATTAGTCATTTCTGTTGAGCACTTGAACACAATGACCAATCAACGCTGTTTAAGAACGCGCTCAAATGTTGGTTGGAAATGGATGTGTTTGAAATTTCAGTATCGACTAGTACCGAATTGCAGTTAAGAGAGTCAGGACCTCGGTTTAACATCTCATTCGAAAGACGGCACTCACTGAGCACTATAGAGTCCCCATCAATATACTGGGGCGGTAGGACCCACACAGACAGCAAGTTGAGCGCCCCCTGCTGCCTTCATTAACACCACTTCCAGCAGAGAGTAAACAATAAATATTCTCTCAAATATTTCAAATCTTCCTGTTAGCGAAGACATAAATAGACAAATTCGTTCATAGATATTCAGTAGCCAAAGATACTGATATATAAAATACCGTACAGTTTGTTTTTATTATCCGTACAGTTGGCCTGTGGCCTCTTTTGTATTTTGTTAGGCTTCCAAATGATGGTCACGTAGTCCCCTGGAAAGGTTTGCCAACTCTTTCATTGCTTTTTTTGTTGTTCCAAATAATATTATGATGTCAGTTCATCATATTGCAAATTGAATTCAAAGCTCAGGTAACTGGAAAACTGTATCGTGACAACCCTAATTGTCATGTCATAATTACATTTAAAACTTCAATAGGGTATATGCCGAGCTAGTGCTGTTCCCATGCTGATACACTTCCGGTGACCTGTTATTGTGAACTTTTTATCATTTTATACGGTTCCTTATACAGCATCGATGTTGTAATGTCATTAAAATACATTCAGTTAAATAAACTTTAGCATTTATTTAGTTGCTCAAGCGTAAAACGAGACAAAAAGCCGTTTACTCGCACGCGCCCATCAGAATCGGCAGGCTAACGCAGAAGCTCCATGGAATATACTGTGGTAAAATAAATGCTCATATAATAAAGACATGGCGGGGGAAATGTAATTTAATGCAGTGCTTCTTGTACAATCTGAGACCCACTTTAAATCGGATATCACTCAGCAAGTGGAGATCGCTGATTTTTTTAAAGAAAACAGACCTTAAACGCACCGGATTTTGCATTGACATTCAATTCGCCGGAAGCGCTTAACCCAGGTTAATGGCAAAATTAAAAGTCCTATTAGCATGCTTCAGTATACACCCCATTGAGATATTAAGATTAAGCTTTAAATGTCTGTTATAATATTAAATTAAGTCATCACTCTAAAAATATGATCTTTTTGGTAATACAGCCTATAAATGTATAATTAAGCTACAGCAGACCACACACGGATGTCCGCGACTCACCTATATTTTCACTTCGACAAGCAGGAGGGAAGGCTTTTTTACACAACTAAATATGCTCTTTTGAGAGACATATCTGAAGTCAATTTGTGTTTTTGCCCAAAGAAACTTATATTTTTGGTAGCATGAAGTTGCTAGGCAACAGAGGCAGGCAATCTTTAAAGTCACAGGGAAAAGCAGCAGACACTGAAATGCATCTGGTCATTTTGATCGCAATGCTAGTTCGAGGGAGAAATAAAAAACTCTTGTGTTTTTGTAATTTTAATAAAATTACAATGTTAGAAGGTAATATACACATATTTAGTACAAGTGAGGGAATTATAGATGTGTGATTTATTTCAACAAACTTGATTAAATTAAGGGCCCTAACATACACAGGGCGCAATGTCAATGTGGCGCAAGACGTGATGCAATAGTTTTTTTTTATTTTCAGCTTGGCGCAAGAGTCGTTTTGAGGCGTTTCGCCACGCTGTTTAAATAGCAAATGCATTTACGCTCATATGTGCGTCCATAGGCGTTCTGGTCTAAAAAGAGAGGCGTTCTGAGGCGCACTGCTGGTGCGTTGCTATTTTGAGAATCTATAATAGATTTTTCAATAGACCTAAACAAACCTGGTCTAAAGTCCAGCACAGAGTTGCTCATAGTACGCAAATATCTTTATATATGAAAAATTATTAAAATATTAAGGATGTGTATATATAGGATATAATAAGAATATATAGGATATAAATATAAAGGATCAAAATATTACAAAACATATTTTCTAGCCTACATAAATGTGAAAAATCACTGCTTTTATCCCTTCATCTCGGGAGGCTTTTTCAGTTCATTCATAACAATTTGCTTTTGTATAATGATATTATTATTAGCAGTATTATTTATTATATGCATATTTATATTTGTTTTATTAAAACAAGCTTAGATTTGCCCACTTGCAGGTTTTAGACCATATGGGGCACAGCATGTGTTTTAGGATATAACTCAGGTTCGTTATTATTGTTCATTTATTCGTTTGCTGGAAATTAGAACTGAATTTAGAAAAAGTTTACAAACAAATATTTGCGCTTAACAAACGCAATTAGTTATTTATAGGCTAATCGATGTCTGTGCGTAAAGGTTTCCCTATCCTTGAGAGCGAAAGTGAAAGTAGATCGATTATCTCTTATTCTCGCGCAGTAGATGCTCTGTTTAACAGTTTTCTTGCTAGTAAAATGCTCAGTTTTTCCACTTACACTTACTTTACGTCCTGTAAATAGCAAATGTGATTATGGCACGACGCAACTGGCTCTTAAAGGAAATGGGAGATGAGACTCTGATTGGTTTATTCTCAAAACACACCTATAACTCATTAAGAAAATAAACTCCACCCTTTTAGATCATGTGCCACGGCGCAAAAAATTAAAAACAGTCAAAATGACTGCCTCTGTTGTTTTAGTGTTTTAAAAAGTGGAATAAAAGCTACAGCGAGGAAAGCCAGATTTATTATGGTTAATATGTGAAGCTCGTTTAAAAAAAATACAACTGAATTTTATCAGTTCTTAAATCTGTTTAAGAAAGTGATCACAACTATGATTTTAATCTGTTATTAGGCATTAACATAAAAATTAACATAAGTGTACGCAGAGTTGTCAAGATGTCTATCTGATTTCTTTTGTCTTTGCCATGATGACAATAAATAATATTTTACTAGATATTTTTCAAGACACTAGTATACAGCTTAAAGTGTATTTTAAAGGCGGAACAAGGGTATTTAGTCAAGTTAGAGTAATTGGGTAAATCACTGTATTTCAGATTAGATATTACACTGAGGTCCTGACTCTCTGTGGTCATTAGAAATCACATGGCACTTGTAAAGAATAGGAGTGTAAACCCTCTATTAGAGTTGGGCCGATAGACAATGCCATCGTCCATCGCTGTTGGCCAATAGACAACACGATGCTGAGCTGGCATCGCCGATCCTCTGCCCCCGTCGCAAACTTGCTTGCGAAAAATACACACTCAGGCCCCGTTTACACTAATATGTCTTGGTGTTAAAATATCATTTTGGATTGAAAATGATCCACATCCACAACGTGTTTTACCTAGCGTTTCTGAACAGCCCTCCATCCGATGAAAACTCACATCACGTGACCACACACACACTGTCATGCACTCCTCTGAGCTCCAGAGAGCAGTGCACGTCGGACAGTTAAGCAAGGATGTACCGCTGGCTCGCGTCTCACTGTAGTTGTTAAACGTGATATTCAGACATCCCAAGTCTCCCAGGAAGTATGCATTTGTGGGACTCATAATGCCCGCAAACGAGTGATAATCTCCCGAAAATCTCACGTCTCCCTCCTGGTCCTCAAATAAGCCACGCACACTTCTAATTCCTGAATCCCTCCTTGCTCTTCAGACACGTCGCACGCACTTTATCAAACAGCCCACCCTCCAGGCTTTTTTACATGTTGACGATGCCATCGCCCATCGCGAGGTTTCACATTAGACATCGTACAATGCCAAATTGGTCCACATTGCCCTCACCTCTATCGCTGTCTGTCCACTCCACAAATAGCTGGTGTGTGGTGAGCACTGGCACTGTTGTCCACTGGCTGCCGTCGCATCATCCAAGTTCGTGCTGCACACTGGTGGTATTGTGGAGAGACTCTCTCTTAAGATTGTGAAGCGCTTAGGGTGTATGGCCATACACCATAAATGCGCTTTATAAATATACATTACTTGCACTGTATAACATATAATGTTATATTGCCAATAATATAAGTTTTATTCTAGCCTAAACAAAACAAGTAAGCCTTTCTCTAGAGTAATAAATATTATAAGAAATACTGTGAAAAATGCTTTGCTCGAGGTCAAATCACTTTGTTGTAAATGTTGATAAATTGCTGACATCATTGATGATGTGCAAAAAGTAAAAAAGTAAACGTGACATCTGTGTCTTGTTCCAGAATAAGAGCCTGCCGCAGTGTCGTGCCGAATACAATGTCTACAGCACTTTCCAGAGTCACGAGCCGGAGTTCGACTATCTGAAGAGTCTGGAAATCGAGGAAAAGATCAATAAGATCCGCTGGCTTCCTCAGAAAAATGCTGCACACTTCCTTTTGTCCACAAACGGTGAGCTGACGCACATTATTTAAATTAATCATTCATTCTTTTATTTATTTATTTTTAATTAAATGTTTTTTTTATCATCCAGCTATGCATTAATCATAACCTTTTTGTCATTGATTCAAACACACAAAGTCTTAATTATAACTGATTATGATTAGTATATTATAGCATTGATCTCAGCTGTGCACAAGTCATTTACAATTATAAAAGCGCTTTAGTTTTTTTTTCAAGCAAGATTATTTTGCCCGAGTTGCTTATGATCAAATAGTCAAAGTAGTGTAATAACTGTTTATAGTTCAGATATAAACACTGATTTATAGAGCGAAGATTAAATTTACAGTTTGAAAGTAATGTGATGTTTTTAATGAATGTTAAAGCAATTAAATTATTATTAAATTCTTAATGCGGATTCTTGAAGTAATGAAACATGAAGTGTTATAAATGAGTTATTGGATTATTGATTTTAAATTAGATTTTCATTATTATACTATTAAAATGTGCATGTTTTATCGCTTTTAAAATCAATAATAAAAATATAATTTATGTATTTATTTAGATAATTAATTTTATTTTTATTTATTTATGTATTTATGATATGCATTATGCAGTTTTTAAATCGACTGCAGCAAATGAAATCGTCCGAAATTCTTGTTTATTACATATTTATTTTAGGATTTAATCAGAATCATGGGAGGAAAAAATTATTAAATAGTTCTCAATTTATTCAGAATCATGCATCTCTGGTTAATTATATTTTATACATTTTAATATTTGCTTAAATTTTAAAATTCTTAAGTTTCAAAAATGCACATTAACACATTCATATGCCTGTTATCTTTGGATTATCCCCTCTTGCAGATAAAACCATCAAGCTCTGGAAAATCAGTGAACGGGACAAGAGGCCGGAGGGCTATAACCTCAAAGAAGAGGACGGCCGCTACAGACATCCATCATCTCTCACAACACTACGGGTGTGTGTGTGTCTTATATTCCTCACATTGTGTGGTCCAAATGTCCCCACAAGTATAACAATACTAGTTATTTTGACTTGAATTTTGATATTTTTGGTACTCATGAGGACAACTGCTCTTAAATCGCACAAAAAATTAAGTCTTTTGAAAATGTATAAATGCAGATTGTTCCTTTGAGGGTTGTTTAGAGGTAGACAAATTGATTAAAGTAACCAAAACTGAAGTGCTTCATAACATTTCATCATAGTTCTTCTAATACTGTTGAACAACACCCATTCATGTTTTAGAGCTTAAGCCAGGGGTGTCAAACTCAATCCCTTAAGGGCCGCAGCCCTGCACAGTTTAGTTCCAACCCTGCTCCAACACACTTACCTGCAGGTTTCAAACAACCCTGAAGGACTCAATTAGTTTGATCAGGTGTGTTTAATTAGGGTTGGAACTAAACTGTGCAGAGCTGCAGCCCTTTTGGAACTGAGTTTGACACCTGTGGCTTAAGCTTTTTCAATCCACGTAAAAAGTTGACAACTGTATACAGTCTGTACTGTATAAACATTAAGTCTAGTGAAAGTGCTGAATATAGTGAAAGATGCGTAAATGTGTGTGTGTACTGGTTACTCCCTCAGGATTACGCTAATGCATTGATTACACTGTACGAGTAACCGTGGTCTGCTCTGCACAGGTGCCAGTGTTCCAGCCGATGGATCTGATGGTGGAGGCGAGCCCACGGCGGGTTTATGCCAACGCTCACACCTACCATATCAACTCCATCTCTGTTAACAGCGACAACGAGACGTATCTGTCTGCCGATGACCTTCGTGTCAACCTGTGGCACCTGGACTACACCGACAGAAGCTTTAGTATCCTGCTTAAGCATTGTTGTTCATTTACACCGTGCATTGGCTTTTGAGAGATGAATAATGTTCTTAGAAGTCTCGTATGCTTGCCCGTGTTGCATTTATCTGATCGTGAATACACTAAAATCAAGAATGTTGTGAAATTTAATAACTCTCTCAATCATTACTTTAGTTTTAGTGTCGCGTGATCCTTCAGAAATCATTGTCAGATTTTTTTCCTCAAGAAAAAAAAATTGCACATTAGCTGCAAGAAAAATGCAGATAATTACACTATTACATTCACAAATAAACTACTTGGACATTTAACACAATGTTATGCATGTTAAAATATGATTAAATATTTGTATTTTTTTATTAACAAAGCATACAGGCTCCATTAACAATATAATTACATATCAATTTAACAACTCCCACCCCCTCCTCTACGGTCTCTTTAAACTGGTGTATACGATGAATAGAAGTTAACAGAAAAACAAAAGTTCAGTATCAAGAATGAAAAATCAATGGACTGCAATTATAAAAAAATAAGACAAGCATCCTGATCATTGGTTTGTGCAATAAACATGGAGACTGTCAGCGGCTGTAATCCAGATCTTTAATGTACACATTTGTACCAAGTTCCCTCGAGCCCAAAGTTTTACCAACCACCTGTACATGTCCAAAATATGTGGAGGAAGCCAGCGTTGTGCTAATAGTTTTTTGCAGAAGTTAAGCCAGTCAAACAGCTTTTTGTAGCTTGGTATGATTCAACGTAGAATATGAACACATATTTTAATAACATATGCATGTTTTAGACATATTGTAGTTCCCTTTATGAACAAAAAACTATTTAAAATTTCACTAAAGCAAACGAAAATGAAGAAATAAAAAGCAAATATTGTATAGTAAAATTCATTATTATAGATAATATTTATTTTAAATATCAATTCAATTCAATTCAATGATTAAATCACACTGAACTGAGCTAAACTGAACTGAACTTAAACACTAAAAACTGAACTACACTGTTCCAGTTACTGAACCACACTGTTCCAGTTACTATGACCATTTATGTGAAGCTGCTTTGACACAATCTACATTGTAAAAGCGCTATACAAATAAAGCTGAATTGAATTGAAAATATCAAGAAACAAACTTTTCAGACCCTTGTGGCTCATTTTATAATATTCAGTGGGAGATATTTTACTGTTGTTTACATACAACTGGCGTATGTATTCATGTTTTGAATTCTTTAAATATTATATTTTCATAATGATAATTATGGTAAACCTTTCATTTATGCGTCAGTATTACATTACTGTTTTAATAATTAGCTATAAACATGTATATTATTTTATCTACATGGTAAAAATATTGATTTTGTTGCTCAAGAAATATTTGTGACTGTTACAACTATTAAAATGAGTTCATCCTCAGGAAACCTTAATAAATCTTGTATAAACTTAATACACCAAATCTTAAATTTTTTAGGTGCTTTCACACCTTGACTTTTGTTTCGGACCCATGGTGTATTTACATTTACATTTAGTCATTTAGCAGACGCTTTTATCCAAAGCGACTTACAAATGAGGACAAGGAAGCAATTTACACAACTAAGAGCAACAATGAATAGGTGTTACAGGCAAGTTTCAGGTCTGTAAAGTCTAAGAAGGGAAGTATTAGTAGTATTAGTTTTTTTTTTTTTTTTGGTACAGTTAGTTTGATATTCAGAGAGGCAATTACAGATTAGGAAGTGTAGTGGAGAGTAAATAGTTGAGTTTTTAGTCGTTTCTTGAAAGTAGCGAGTGACTCTGCTGTTCTGATGCAGTTAGGGAGTTCATTCCACCAACTGGCCAGATTGAGCGTGAGCGTTCGCGAAAGTGAATTCTTCCCCCTTTGGGATGGAACCACGAGGCGACGTTCATTCACAGAATGCAAGTTTCCCCTGTTAGCTCAGTTTGTTTGGCATATGTGAATCCAGCATGCGTGCGCTGCTCCGCGACAAAATATCTGAAGCGAATTGATTGTAGTGAGAAAGCAAAACAATCCAACGAACTAAAGAACCAGGCTATATCACAGTATATTATGGTTATGTATTAGGGCTGTCAAATAATTAAAAAAACATAATTATTCACACTTTTTTTTGTAATTAATCATGATTAATCGCGAAACGCCATATTTATTACAGAAATAAAAGGACAGGCAATAAATGCCATTTGAATTTCAAAACAATCAATGCCAATAACAAACGAATGATTTCCATGTTGGATTCTAAGTGGACTACAGACGCACACACACACAATGTGCGCAGTACAGCGGACCTGGTGACCGAGGGAGGGATGGGATCCCTTCACATGCTTTAACCTGCTCATTTTGACAGCCCTAATATATATATACGGCTATATGAAGAGAGAATTATGAGTAGGTAGGAATATCATTCCTACCATTAATGTGCTCTTCATGTCGAATATGAAAGTGAAAACATGCTGAAATATTACCAAGTGCTGTTTATCCATTAGCAAAATTGACCGAAATTACCATCTGATATTTATTCCATATTTTAATCTTGTAATATTTTGTATTCGGCCTATTGATTTGTTAATTTCTGACACCTCTAAAGAAAGATCAGCATTGATCTGCTTCATGATCTGACTGCAGTCTAATTCTCTCTAATGTAGCCTATAATGCATTATTCTAGCCAACATTTTTAAGCTCAAAATTAATAATGAAAACAAAGTTATTAAATGTTGTTTTCTTATTTTAAAATAACTAAATAAATGTTACAAAAAAGGACAGGCAATAGATTGATTGATTGATTCAACAGATAGATTTGTACAACCCTTAACAAATCAAATGAGGCTTACTGAGAAAGTCTTACCTCTGATTTATATTTAGTGACATTTATAAATGTCTGTGAGTGTCACCATTCAAAATGAAAGCACACCTTTTCGCTTATATTGTCTTATTGCTCATCATCATAAATAAAAATAACAACAAATGACAGCAAAGCGAAACTATTTTTAAATTCCCGTTTCGGAACAAAACAATCGATTTGCAGGTGTCCTTCCCTTTTGATTGATTTATTGCATCCTTGCTAAACAAACCTTTTTTTTTTTTTTTTTTTTTTTTTTTTACTTTTGAACTTTATTTATATTATTAGACAATTTTATGAATGTGACTGCTATACTGAATTGTACTCCTTAACCACGCACTCAGACATTGTTGATATCAAGCCGGCCAACATGGAGGAGCTGACGGAGGTGATCACGGCGTCAGAGTTTCACCCGCTGCAGTGCAACACGTTTGTGTACGGCAGCAGCAAAGGCTCAGTGCGCCTGTGTGACATGAGGGCGTCCGCTCTGTGTGACCAACACTCAAAATGTGAGTTTCATAGCATCCTACACACTAGGGCTGCACAATATTGGAAAAATCTGACGTTGCGATATTTTATTTTTCTGCAATAAATATTGCGATATGAACAGTTTCACAAGATGTTTTGAATAGCTCTATTTGACGGTTTTTGAGGAGTCCAACATTATGCTGGTACAGAAATTGACTCGTTTGTCTCGTTTCTTGTTCAAATATAAAAATAAATTTTTTTATGTAGTTTTGTTTCTACCTTTAGAAGAAATACGTCAAAATTAGGTGTTTTTTTTCCTTAAAACAATCTTAAATATCTGTCATTAGGGTAAGTAAAATAATCTTATTTTCACTTTGAAATTAAGATATTTGGGCTAGAATTTTTGTTTTTTAAATTTTGCTTAAATGGTTTAGAAGTACGTTTATATAATTAAATGAAATTCATCTTTGTTACACATTTTTGAAGCCCAAATGTTTTAAACATTCAAGGCCTTAAAAGTCACAGGCCTTAAAACACATGCAACTGATAAACTTTCACTCTAATATGATTAAACTCCGCAGCGACTCTACAAATCACATGTGTTCTGTGGCTCCTGGTCAATTATAATTCAGACTGACTGTTGTGATCGTGCAGCCCTACTACACACACATGATGACACTTTGGATTGCATTTATAACGCAAGCCTTAAAGTGCTCCTATTATGCTTTTTTTAAAAGTTGTTTATGTTTTGCCATCTTCAGAATACAATTTCAGATATTCAATATTAGATGAAGTCCGAGAGCTCCTTCATCCTCCATAAACAGTCCTGAAAAGGAACTTTGTCTAAATGATCAATGTGGCTTCAGTAGTTCAACTGTAATAATGCGAAGCTCCAAGAATACTCTTGTGCACCAAAACAAAATGTAAATATGACTTAGTTTGCCTTTATCTTCTCATCTGTATTCATCGATTACAATTTAACCACTGAAGTTGCGTTGAATCTCTTGACAATGCTTTTGGATAATTTTCTGGACTTTAAACATCTCCAGACCATTTCTGTCTATGGAGGATGAGAGAGCTCCAGGATTTCATCTAAAATATCTGTTTCAAAGATTGTTTCAAAGATGAACGAATGTCTAAGGGTATTGGAATGGTATGAGAGTAATTGATTAAACAGAATTTTCTGTCCCACTGTATATATGGTGGCCTTAACTACTAGATATTTGCATCAAAATATAAATGCAATGTATTTACTGTGTTGATAATGTATTGCAGAAGACTTCTGGTGTTCTTGAGGTGGGATACGGGTAGGGTAAGGGACAGGTTTGGTGGTATGGGTAGATTACAGGATAGTTTAAGTTTTTTATTCATAAACTCAATGTAAAAATGTAAAGTGGGCCTGAATTTTCAGTTTGGGTCAACTAATCCTTCAATTATATATATATATATATATATATATATATATATATATATATATATATATTTTTTTTTTTTTTTTTAATCAAAATGTATATATTAAACCCATTGTTGAATCCGCTTTCTTATTTTTAGTGTCTGAAATGGTTGGCTCACGGATCTGTACTCTCTAAAGCTCTCTAAAGATTGGTCAGATCTAGTCCAGTAATCTTGTGATTGGTTGAAAACCAAACCCTCTTCAGAGTATTTAAATTTCAGTTCTTCCTCAGCACATGTAAACAATGTAGAGTAACAATTGTATTGTTTATTTTATATTGTTTTAAATTCAAAACATCCTTCTGAAGTGGAAAATGGGATCTTTTCAGCATGTCGCAAAGAAAAACTAAACTATTGGAGACCTCCAATGGTTAAAATGCAGTGGTTGAAGGTCAAATCTGACATTGTTCAGAGACTGACAGTGAAGAATTATTCTATTTGTTTGTGCAGGAATCAAAGATTAGATTTTCTGATGATATACAGTGCATTCGGAAAGTATTGATAGTGCTCCACTTTTTCCACATTTTTTATATTACTGCCTTTATCCAAACTAGATTAAATTCATTGAATTCCTTTAAATTCTACAAATGGATTTAGGTCTGGACTCTGGCTGGGCCACTCAAGGACATTCTCCGAGTTGTTGTAAATCCACTCCATTGATATTTTGGCGTTGTGCTTTGGGTCATTTTCCTTCTGGAAGATGAACCGTCGCCCCCGTTTGAGGTCAAGAGCACTGTGAAGCAGGTTTTGATTCAGGTTGTCTCTTTACATTGCTGCATTCATCTTTCCCTCTATCCTGACTAGTCTTCCAGTTCCTGCTGCTGAAAAACATCCCCACAGCATGATGCTGGTATTAGCCTGGTGATGAGCGGTGCCTGGTTTTCTTCAAACGTAACGCCTGGCATTCACTCCAAAAAGTTCAATTTTAGTCTCATCAGACCAGAGAATATAGTTTCTTATGGTCTGAGAGTCCTTCAGATGCCTTTTAGCAAATTCCAGGCAGGGAGTGGCTTCTGTCTGGCCACTCTACCATACAGGCCTGATTGGTGGATTGCTGCAGAGATGGTTGTTCTTCTGTAAGGTTCTCCACTCTCCACAGAAGAACGCTCGATCTTGGACAGGGTGACCATTGGGTTATTTATCACCTCCTTGACTAAGGCTTTTCTCCCCCAATCACTCAGCTTAGATGGCCGGCCAGCTCTAGGAAGAGTTCTGGTGGTTCCAAACATCTTCCACTTATAGATGATGGAGGTAACTGTGCATATTGGACTTTCAGAGCAGCAGACTTTTTTCTGTAACCTTCCCCAGCCTTGTGCTTCGACAATCATGTCTGGGAGGTCTAGAGACAATTCCTTTGACAATTCCTTTGTCTTCATGCTTGGTTTGTGCTTTGACATGCACTGTCAACCCTGTGACCTTATATAGACAGGTGTTTCCCTTTTCAAATCATGCCCAATCAACTGAATTGACCACAGGTGAACTCCAATCAAGCTGCTGAAACATCTCAAGAATGATCAGTGGAAACTGAATGTACCTGAGCTCAATTTAAAGCTTCACGGCGAAGGCTGTGAATACTGATGTACATGTGATTCTTCCGCTTTTTTATTCTCAATAAATTTGCAACAATTTCAAAAACTAATTTTTCCACATTGTCATTATGGGATATTGTGTGTAGAATTTTGAGGAAATAAGTCAATTTAATCCATTTTGTTATAAAGCTGTAACATAAACAAAATGTGGAAATAGTGAAGTGCTTTGAATACTTTCCGGATGCACTGTATTTCAGGCAGTTCATAATAGCGTCTATCTTTTTTGAAAAGAAAAACTCTATTTGTCTTATTTAATATTTTACTTTCACAAACAGCTGCATTTCACACTGCGTTAAAGGTAGAATCTGAAAAAGCATAACATGTGCTCTTTATCTGACCAAGCAGAAAACCTCTCTAACTGATATTTGTTGTCTATTCATTTATATGTTTGTGTAGTGTTTGAGGAGCCCGAGGACCCCAGCACACGGTCCTTCTTCTCTGAAATCATCTCATCCATCTCAGACGTCAAGTTCAGTCACAGCGGCCGCTACATGATGACTAGAGACTACCTGACCCTCAAGATCTGGGATCTGCACATGGAGAGCCATCCGGTGGAAACTTACCAGGTGCAGTTGCTGTCTTACTGTTTCAGATTCATTATTTAATTCTACAATCTGATCCGTTATCTGAAATGCTTTTTTGTCAACATACTAATTGACAGCATTATTTAATTTAGTAAAAATGCTCAAATTTTTCCAAATCTGCATGAGAAAATATCAATGTCCTGCTTGCTTTATTCATGCATTCGATGTAGGGCTGCACAATATATTGTTTTAAAGGGTTTCTGTGGGGTCTTACAAAGTCTAAAATTTAAAAATCTAAATTTTAGGCCTTAAAAAGCCTTAGATTGGCTGTTCTAGGTCTTCAATATTTTTACACAGGTCTTATTTTTCCGATGTCCATTTAACGCTACATCTAATGCTCATTTAAATTCTTTTTTGTGCTTTATTTTCGTGGTGTAATTTGCGGTATTAAAACTTCAAACGAGACCAACAGGCGATAACTAATCAGCTTTCTGTTATTGAACTTAGTGCACGCGGCAAATGTGGCGTCGTCGCTGTGTTTGCGGAGGCACGACATGATTCGGCTGGCGGAGCGCACTAACTTTGAGATTCGGGTAAACAGTTCGCGCAGCACCATGTTTCATTTGAGTTGAATATGAATCGCTTAAGAGATTTTGTATGAAAGGGGTACGACTGCAGACACCTTTATGATCCGTCAATGTGTGATCATAGGGAGAACCAGATGACAAAATACCTGGCCTGAAATTGCAACCGTGGGAAAGACAAAGTTTTTGTAAAAGTTAGCAAAAAACCTGAGGGATACGTTTGTTAAATCCAAAAAAGAGACCATGGCAAAAGTGGAGACCCAGGTGGTTTTAATATTACAGAATATGTTTTTCCACCATTTATAGGTTTAACACTGATGTATATATTACAGTATTAAAATGTAATAGCTAAAAACTAAAATGAAGTAACAAATTATGTCTTTGATAACTGGAAAGGAATATATGAACCTGTCGGTTTACAATATACTGATGGCCTGTTTTCTTGGCTTTCAGGAATTTTGGACCATTATTGCCTTTTGAGCTTATAAGTAGAGGACACAAACTAGCCAGACAGTAATGTCAAATGTGGAGTGGGCTAAATAAAAAAAGAGTCAGTATTTTAGTAAGTACTTTTTTTGTTGCTTTTATTTTTGCTATAGTAAAATATAATTGTAGAGTAACCCATGTTCTGTTGTCATTAATATTTTCAATAAACTTTAATTGGTAGAACTGTCGGAGATATAAACAAAAGCAAATGATACATCAAAGTTTGATTTAAAATTCTTGAGCGATATTACTGATATGACGTAGAACCAGAAACTACCTACTATTTATCCGTCTGATTTTTACGATGGTTTCTTTGAACCACAAAGCCTCATCCGTTTCGTTAGGTACGTGCGCAGTCAGTAGAGGTGCGCGATGCGGCTCCAGGCGAAAGTATACATCAGCCTTAAGATGTTTTTTTTTTCTGCTGTGCATCTAACCTGCCTTTAGTAGTGTTCAGTTTAAATAAATGTATTTTACCCCTAATTTTGTGATTTAGCATTTTCTATTTGTGTATGCGTGGTTTTTATATTGTGATATAGATCCTAAATTTATTACTTAATGGTCTTAAAAAGGTCTTAAAAAGGTCTTAAATTTGAAAATTTTTGTCTGCGCTAGTTGCATCGCAGGGATCTGCAATGTAGTTGGGATTATAGTTTACCAGACATTATTTAACAACACAGTGGAGTAATTCAGAGTGAAAGTTATTAAAGCAAATTTAAGCCACTTGGGCAGTCAATTAAATGTTTGTAGCTTAAAGATTAATTGTTTAAAGATTAACACTTAAAGATTTAAACACTTAAAGATTAACACTTTATATAATTATTTACTCAAATAAAATGATACAGCGTTGTTGTCATTGTCATTACAGTGTTTCCTCTAGGATTTTTTCCAGCTGCGGTGGCAGATGTTGTCCATTTTACACAGATCTAGCACTACATGTCATGTCATTATTTCATCGACAAATGTCATGGGCGCAGTATTGAGATCGCATTCATGTAATAGCCTACAAGCATGTCAATCTCTGCTTAAGTGCCGATTTCCTCTGTTCGTGCACAAAACTTGTTGCGCGACCTCAAATATACGCTACTGAAGTGCAGATTTTCTTGCGCGCCCTCAAATAAACGCGGCTGCAGTGTGATTAAGTGCGTTTATGTACCGAGTATGTCTCCAACATTTGTTAGATTTTCTAGGAATATTTATGAATATCTCCGATAGACTTGCGAAGCGGACCGTGGCATTAATGCGTCCTGAAGTAAAGTGAAACGGCTATAAACTCCAGCAAGATAAAGTTATTATATACAGAGCCACGGACCTTTATCTATAAATAAAGTATAATTATGGAAACTGTGTTCATCATAACTGAAAGCTAAGCCGTGTTTGCTGGCCTCACGCATCACGCACCTGTCAGTCAGTCTGTCAGCACGTCACCTTAAAGGGTTGAACAGCACGTACAGCACTACTACGGTCAAAGAAAGATTTGCACTGTTATTATTCCCTTACCTTTTCATTTGTTTTCGGTGGGATTTTAACCCGCTATTTATAAAACTACAGATGATTTTGAATAAGAAGCTGTAATGTAGTCGTGGCAGGATGAATTTTGGTGTGGCACCCCGCCACGGAAAAATGAATGTAGGGGAAACCATGCATTATACAGTGATTTAAATTCCTGCTTCTTACTGCTGTTTTAATCCCTAGAAAATCATAAATCATTGTTTATTTGCATATTTTCTCTGTTATATTTACTTTGCATGTAATTTTTTTTTAATTTATTTATATTTTCCTCCCCTACAGACACATCCTAATCCATCTAAAATTATTAATTCTTTACAAAGTATTCCAGTCATCTGCTGAAATTGCTATATTCTTATTCACTGTGATATATACTGTGATATAAATGCAATGTCAGGTTTTTTTTACAGTATTGTGCAGCCCAAATTAAATGTGGACTTCAGAAAAGCTTCATTCAAATTTGCTTCATTAGCATGCCTGTAAATGATGCTAGATTGCCTATGCTTGAAATGTGTGGACAAATAAAAAAATTAATAACACTTCAAACTAAAGAATAGAATCAAACTATCATAACAATTTCAACTTAACAATGTAGGAAATAGCACATAAGAAATAAAAAAAAATCCTTATTTTATTATTATCATTATTTTTATCATTAGTTGAAGCATTGCTATTTCAACTGATGGTAAATTAGCTCTATTTTAAGTTAAACTTTAAAGAAATAGATTGAAAATTAAATAATCCCTCAATATGTTGAAATATGTTCTATCTCTCATTCACATTCATGAAAAGCAGCACCCAAAAATGCCTTTTAAATGAATTGATGCAGATCACAGATGATTCATTCACTGAGTCATTCAGTCATCAGATTCGCTTGCAGGAGTTAATGTCTTTCTTGATTATTAGTAAACAGCAACTTAAATCCGAGCTATTTTAGGAGTTCAGGGGTCGGTTTTTCGTACGTGGATTACTCAGTTAGCTGGATTTGGATTTTGACGATTTGACACGATCCAGGATCGTTTCGTTCTTCAAAGCTGATCCGAGAGTTGTTGTCATGGCAATAGTTCTGCTAGGTCAAACATGATCGGGAGCAGGTTCAATTTATATAAACAGGATTAGATCGGCTCAGTTCAAGCAAAGATAATACAGAAAGCATGTTCCGAATTCTGATATTTTCTTGTAGTTATATACACTTTGGAAAATGGTAAATATTTTAAAACTATAGAGTTATAGTTATGAATAAAATAAATAAAGTTATACATATTTATAAAACTTATGCAATCTGCACCCTCGAAATGAAAGTACAAAGACTGCCACCTGGTGGTGCAAAGAGAAAACTTATTTATATGAACTTTTTAGATCGCTTTAGTACAAATTTTGTATAATAAAAATGCACAATATGTGACTTTTTAAAAAAAGCAATAATACATTAATGCAGTCATAAACATGTTTTGATAGTTAATATGCCAGGGATTATGCTTCACAAAAGATACAGACGCCTTTACCAATAACAAAATGCTTTTGTAAGCATCCGATTAAAAAAACGGCTACTATAATAAAGAACATATTTTCTAAATGTAGAACTAAATACATTGATTTGCATTGAAATACATGATAAATACACTTGACACATGAAAGTGTAAAGCCTGCAGCTCACAACAAATGTGGAAGGTTATTGCGTTTCATATTTAACAAGTTGTTTACTGCTCATTTGATGTAATTTAGCTCACATGGATAATTGAATATTAATCAGATGATGTCATTACGCTGATGTGGCGTCAGCCAATCGTTGCATTGCTGATCATGATTTCGAGGATCGATAGATCTGTCCTTCAACACACGCAGCGATCTCAGATCAGTTCATCCAGACATTCTAATCTGATTCGCGAACTTGTTTGAAAAACCAAATTAGCGAGAGATCAGTTATCAAGATTAAAAGATCCAGAATCTGCCAAATCATCTTAGATCATTTAAGTGAGGTACGAAGAACGGACCCAGGAATAATTGTAATACAACACGAGTCAAATTATGAAGTGCTTTTATGTGTGCTTTTTTTTTTATTTTAAGCACCCATGAAAAGATTTGAGTCAAATGATCTGCTTTTGTCACATTTTGAGCTCTGATTTTAATTTCATAGGGGGGACACTACTAAAATTCTTATGAATTATGAACATATGTAATCAGCATGGGTCATATGATCTGTGTTGTCCTATTATTGTCTTGTATTTTAATTATAAAAATAGTTGGCGATTCATTCCACTGTGGCGACCTCTGAAATAGACTAAGCCGAAGGAAAATGAATGAATAAATACATGAAGCAGGAAACTCTTTAAAATTAAAAAGGATTGTAAAGAAGGAAAGAGTTTTTGTGAACCGATCCTTTTAATATAACGTCACCTTGGAATTATAAGGTATCTGCGTTCTGAATGATTTTGAGTTAATGAGCTTTAACGTTTTTGCATTCCATTGCAAACAGTATGTGTGTAAAAACTGTACAAAAGCACGCACATCTCTCTTAATTGGGTGCTCATCCAAAACCGCAAAAAGTGCAAATTAAATGTAAATCAAAGGCGGCAACACCAAGGCTCCAAAAATACAAATTTATTAAATTAAAAAGGCTGACACAGAGCGTGTAATGTTTCGAGCCACCCGGCTCTTCATCAGACAATGTTCATCACAATCAGGTGCTCCTTTTTGTACACTTCCAGATCACATGATCTCCTCTCGCATATATACCAACATATACATACATGCATATGTATACATACACAATCATTCATATATACATATATACACATGAATACATGTATACACATTCACATATAGTCTATAGCTTTGATATTTCAAATCAAATTACAAAAAAAATACACAAAAAAATTAGTTTATTTATATATTTTTTTTTTTTGTAATTTGAGGAGATCATGTGATCCGGAAGTGTACAAAAAGGAGCACCTGATTGTGATGAACATTGTGTGATGAAGAGCCGGGTGGCTCGAAACGTTACATGCTCTGTGTCAGCCTTTTTAATTTAATGAATTTGTATTTTTGGAGCCTTGGTGTTGCCGCCTTTGATTTACATTTAAACAGTATGTGTGTAACATTTCTTTTTTAAAATGAAATGTCTTAATGTAAACAACTTATAAAAAACATCCCATAATGGAGATAAGTTGTCATTTAATAAGAATATGCCAATAACTCAATTTTGACAATGTCAGATAGAACCTTATAATTCCAAGGTGATGATAATAGTAATGTATAACCATTGACCACTAGATAGCGCCAGGGATTCATTTCTAACTACATTTTTTGCAACGCATGATAGTATTGCTTTTCAGGAATTCAGAATACCTGGCAGTAAAGTATTTGGATTTAATGAGAAACTCTGGCTGTGATGCAATTTCTTCATTATAGGTTTCAGTTACTGTAATTATAGGTCCACATTACTTTGAATCCTCATATGATTTAGATCAGTGGTTCCCAACCTTTTTCTTTGGGGCCCCCCCCATGAACATATACAAACATTGGAGCCCCCCCACCATATAAATACACACGCACACATATATACTGTATGTATGTATATATATATATATATATATATATATATAGTTATAGTGTATGTGTGTGTTTGTGTAATATTAATATATAATATGTATAGAAAATATAAATTAATCAGTTTTAACTTGTCTTGGCCTTCAATAAAACCAAAATTTAGGTAGGCTTTGTCATACTGTCTAATCTTTTTCTTCGCCTCTGAAGAATCACTGCATTTACGTTTCTCTGCCATATTTGTTTTGATTTTGCCTTTACGACACGTTGGACAAGCACATTTTTGAGCAAACTTAAAATAATTATTTAAAGTTATTAATTTTAATTATTTTTACTATTATGTTGGAATTTTAAGCATGTGTTTTGATTTTTTTTTTTTTGTATTTAAAAATACATATATAATAGTAGGGCTGCTCGATTTTGGGAAAAATCATAATCACAATTATTTTGGTCATAATTGTGATCACAATTATTCAAAACGATTATCAGTTAAAGTCAAAATTATAAGCGCTCCTGAGATTTTTTTTTTTATATAAATATTTCCCAAATGATGTTTAACAGAGCAAGGAATTTTAACAGTATTTCCTATAATATTTTTTCTTCTAGGCTTATTTGTTTTATTTTAGCTAGAATAAAAGCAGGTTTAAATATTTTGAAACCATTTTAAGGTTAATATTATTAGCCCCCTTAAGCAATATATATTTTTGATTGTCTGCAGAAGAAAATACTGTTATACAATGACTTGTCTATTTACCCTAATTCAGCCTTGGCTTGTATTTTGAAAAATTAAGGCCTTAATGAAATCTGTCAAGTGCTTTAATTAATAACATTAAAATTGACTTTAAATCTAAATCCCAAATATCAGAAATGACAACAGATTGTTAAGATTTAATTAATGTAAGTAGAGCAATGTGAACATTGTAAACTAAGCCTCTTAGATTCAAATAATGTAGCGTAAAACAGTGTGACACATCAGTAGCTGTGCATTGTCTATTATTATAAAAAGCTTATCAGAGGTATAGGTAATATGATTTAATTAATGTATAGATGTATAGTGTCTTACATTATATTTACCTTTTAAAAAATAGCTCAAATTAGCAAATAAAACACAAGGTAGGCCTACGGGGCAAAAAGGGGACGCCTCTCAGATACTTTCAGAAGCTGTCATTCATTTATCCTCACCATGCTCATAGTCTTTGTCTCTTTTTCGTCTCTTGTTTATCCTCATTGCATCAACTTGGGGTAAAAGCACAGCATCTTGACTCTGTCTTTCATGAAATGGAGTTGCCGTTTAATGTATAGTAAATCGGACTCCTTCAAAGTAGCATCACTGCACAAAAAAAAGTTATGAATTGCTTACACTTCTGATTGAACATTGTGTTTTCTTTTTCTTATAATGCACAGAGTTTTGAGGTAAGGGACGTTTTCATTTGCCTTCCACTGACAGTCAGACAGGCTTATCCAGTTTATCAAACTCTGTCTTTTAAAATCGGAAGCGGAATAAAACTGCCTTCTCATAAAGGCGGCATATTAAGCCGTGACATTGAAAACATGATTCGATTCGCCCCTTCTGATTGGTTCTCGGGGTATAGCGGCTTGTGCTGTCAAAGGCAAGTGGAGTTTAGCAGCTTTTGTCAGTAAATTGTTATTTCTGAATGCGCTAACGCTGGGATTTAGATGATTTGAAGCAAAAATATTTGTTGAACATGTAGTACGTGCCTAAAGCATTCACTCAATGTCATTAGCTCATACTTGGTGGAAGTGCCGTTTAGCGGCTTTTGCATCTGAACTCTTCATATAATTATATATATATATATATATATATATATATATATATATATATATATATTTATTTATTTATTTTTTTTTTTTTAAGGATTTAATTATTGATGTTTTAATTTAGGTTTATCTTTTTGTGATATTATTTGTTTGTTTGGCTTAAATGTGAATTTTTTTAGTTCTTTTTATTAGATTTTTCATTTGTACATCGTGAATGAAAATGTGAAATATTTCCTTGCCAGCTCGCTGAAATAATTTATACAATTTATTCACAAATGCAATATTTATTTACTAAAAATACTTTATTTTTTTGTTATTATTTTGCTATTATAGTGGTCTGTGCAGAATGCACTATGCTTTGGTCTTCTATATACTAGAGCTGCACGAATCTGGCTAAAATGGGATTTGCGATTTTTTTTTTTTTTTTTTTTTTTTTTTTTTTTTTTTTTTTTTTTTTTTTTTTTGCTTAAAACAAAGATCAAGATTCTCTCTCGATTCTGTACATGTAAAATAAAGGTATGGTAAAAACAAACCTATGGCACAACATCGATAATAATATTATGTGTAGGTCTACTGGTTTCTATAAATAATTCTATTCTAATAATAATTCTGATGTTGAATTATTATGTTTGAGAGATATGCTTGCAATCTGTCATATCAGACAATTTTGTTCACTGGTAAAATCAGACATTTGCCATTATCAGATTATATTCAACAATATATAGGCTAGAGTAGTTATACTGACACCGTAAACATTTATTTTCATGCACAACTGTGGGTTCGCTATAAAAGAAAAAACATATCAAACGCTTGCTGTAATCATAACTCTAAAATGTGATATGCTCATTTAAATAATGTGCACACTTTCGGTTTCATTTTGACTGCTAAGTGCTTGTTCATATTTCGTGCGCGGCTCCCAAACGATCACTCTGTGCCGCAAGCTGAATATTATTTACAAATGTACTACCTGTTACTCGCAACATATGCAGGTTCTGTTCACTAAAAACAGCTCACGGTCAGCAGCTCATGTCACGTGTGATTTCCCGATCGCGAAAACATCATGTTTAGACAAAAATGGCATTTGTAGTTAAATTAAACCTTATAAATACAGTATGTGACTCATTCAACATTGTTTGGAGGTGTCAATGTCACTGAGCAACGTGTGTGAAACAATGAAAAGACTCGTACAGCCGCCTTTTCTTCTCTCCTGAACTTGAAAATATGATTGACAGAATCGTAGAAATGCTGGATTAAGATCGTCTAGACCAGGGATGTCAAACTCAATTCCTGGAGGGCCGAAGCCCTGCACAGTTTAGTTCCAACCCTGCTCCAACACACTTACCTGTAGGTTTCAAACAAGCCTGAAGGACTCAATTAGTTTCATCAGCTGTGTTTAATTAGGGTTGAAACTAAACTGTGCAGGGCTGCGGCCCTCCAGGAATTGAGTTTGACATCCCTGGTCTAGTGGGGCCAAATCGAGATCGCGGTCTTTTAACGATTAATTGTGCAGCTCTACTATATACCTTATGGTAATCTGGCCGACTGATAATTGTTTTAAATAATCATGATTACACTAAATAGAGCTCCTTGATTATGGGAAAAATCATAATCATCAATATTTCAGTCAAAATTGTATAACGGTAACTCTGGTCTAAATGTGACTGTCATCTCTCTGTCCACAGGTTCACGGTTATCTCAGGAGTAAGCTGTGCTCTCTCTATGAGAACGACTGCATCTTTGATAAGTTCGAGTGCTGCTGGAGGGGCGACGACAGGTGAGTTCAGTAATGATATCATTATGAGTTTCTCAAAGGGCTCCAGCATGTTCAGATAATGTCTTTAGTCAAAATACAAGCACAATAGCATGATCTGTGGGCTCACAGCAGGGTTTCTCAGCCGTATCAATGCGTCCAGTGAGAGTCTGTCAGACTGAAGCTTTTATCTTTGACTAACAGATCACTCGCTTATATAGACACTTTTTCAGAAGCGTCTGACCGTTAAAGGTGCAGTAGGTGATCTTCCACAATGCTGACAGCTTGGCATAAATCTCTGAATCACAGTCCCTCCCCTGCCATCTAGAGCCGCGCCTCCTTTAACAAGAGCACAGCAAAAGAACCCTCTCTCATGTGCTAGTGCTCGTCCGGCGGCGTGCAAGCCAAACTGACATGCTATTTCAGAGTGAATATTTAGAGTTGCATGGTAAACAATATAGGCAGAGACTAGGTGGAATAGTGGTATTTACTTGTGTTTTGTTGTTAAACTAATTAAAATCTACATCATCAATGCTGTAAAAGGTCCCTTATGAAACTGAAAATGGTCTTTCATCAGACATTCATCAGAAGATTTTAGTGATTGAACAACACTTCTGTGAAGATATAACCCATTTTTAACAACAACATCTAACATTACATCAGCTTTGCGTGAAGCTAAAACAGTTTTAAAACAGAACATGACCTGTCTAAGAGAAATCCTTCAGCCGTTGTGTCATTCTTTCTCCAGCGTGCAAAGATAACTCCAATATTGATTCAGGTTTTTAAAAAGTTTTGATTCAGCAGGTTTTTACTGATCGCGTGCGCATTCTCTTTCTCGTGATCGCGCGGCATTCGGCGGAGCTGCGTACAAAAGGCTGCGCAGTTGTCCAAATCTGCATTTGCTGACAGACAGTTTGGCCTACTTATTGGAATTATGAGAGATGTAGTTCCGACTCTATTTAATTAGATGAACATTTTTTAGTTTTATGCTTTACCCAAAATATAAAAATACATATAAATACATTTTAGATCCTTTACTTTAGTCATTACTATTAAACTGTGAAGAGACTTTCAACCAGCACAGCAAAAAATGCTTCTAAAGACAATCACCTACTGCACCTTTAACCAATGCTAATACATTATGCATGATAGTTATGGTAAATTTACTATTGTGTATACTTCTATTTAGCAAATGCAATACATTGGTGACTGTCAAGAATTTTAGAAGGCACAAAATGGTTTCCATTGTTCGCCTAAAATAATTGCTGTTCGTTAATCAAAATCATAAATATGCAGCTACACGATTCCTCAACAGTCTTGGTGTCTGTTAAGTTATCAAAATAAAAATAGGCAGTTCATTATATTATGTTTTCATTTTTTCGGTAAGAGGGTGATGTGAATGACGCTATAAAGTACATCGTTCTTTTTGAAGATTTACCTGACTTGTCCTCGGGAGTTTGTTCTCCATATCAAACTTGCAAAGTCTGAACTTACAAGGGAAGACTGAACTTTGCGCACTTTAATATTGAGAACAAGCCCCAATCAGAAAGGTGAATGTCTGCAGCCACGCCTCCATTTTCAGATGTCATTGTTTCCCCCCCATCCACACTGACACGAAGCAGCAGCACTTTAAAAAGAAAACACTCAGTTTCCAGGGCTCAATATCTGGGGTAGTTTGGACAGATGGTGTAACCTTAGCAAAAAGTTATGCGTTTTAAAACTAAAGCCTGGTTTATACTTCTGCGTCAAGTGATCGGCGTGATTGCCCTGCATTTATACTTCTACGTGCTGTTTCTGTTGCTCTGCATTAACACTTCAATAACGCTAGCAGGGGGTAGGTGTTTATGTCCCTCTGTGTCAAGTTTCTTCGCTGGTGTACAAGTGACTCAAACTCGCTCATTTTGAAGCTGGAATCAGCGTACATTCAACAACTTTAATCATAAGTTAAACACAAAACAACAACGTTACTTTGTTTAAGACGTGCATCAACGTCGCCAACAGCCACGAACAGGGCTAGGCGCAGCCACGCGTAGGCTTCGACGTAGCATACAAGTCCGCTTGACGCAGAAGTATAAATCAGCCTTAAAACGTATTGGTGTAAATGGGGCCTCAGTGGTGATTGAAACTGTCAGTGACCAAAATGCAGCCGCCAGATTAATAACAGGAACTAAGAAAAGAGATCATATCTCCCCTGTCCTCGCCTCATTGCACTGGCTTCCTATAAAAATTCAGAGTTGATTTTAAAATCCCTAACACATGTCCTGAATAAGGGTTCATGATGTCAGATGCTCCGGGGAGTGAAATCTGAAAGCGAACATAAGATTGCGGATAAAAATAAGTTATACAACCTTCATTTGGCTTAATCCTTATCCTTTCAGATCTATTTTAGATCTTGCTTTGACGAGACCAAAATAAAGATTGGCCATTTTAATCATTAATCATTTTTACATCTTACATAGTAGGCTACCTTTTTTTTAAGTGTGCTTCACAAGGGAGTGCGGGAAGTTGCTGCTTGGTTTTGACTCCATAGCAGTTGCAATACATTCCTTTTTACATGTATATGTTTTTTTTCTTTATAAAATAAGAACTCGTTGTCTAATTGTGTCATTATTTCACATCTCTCTCCAGCGAGGTCATGACTGGCTCCTACAACAACTTCTTCCGGATGTTTGAGCGTGAGGGCCAGCGAGACGTGACTCTAGAGGCCTCGTGGGAGAACGGCTCCCCCGGCTGCCCGCTGAAGAGCTGGCGCGTGTCCACCGGCAGCCGACGCAAGAGGAACGAGATCGGCGTCGACTGTCTGGACTTCAGCCGCAAGATCCTCTACACCTCCTGGCATCCTCAGGAAAACATCGTTGCCTTGGCGACGGTCAATAACCTTTACCTTTTCCAGGAGAAACTCAATTAGGAATTTCAAAACTGCTTCGTCCCCATTCCTAAAAGCAGGAGTCAAATGCGGGATACATGCTAATCTCGTATCCAAGCACAAACTCATAGTCTTAATATTAACCACTGTAGTACACCAAAACCTTTGGATTATTCTGTTATGTTTAATTGATACACTGTAGGCCGGAGGAAGGGATTTTTAGTTGGATTACTGTATTGGGTTCTTGCACATTGATCTGTCTGGTTTATATGGAAGCCTGTTTCGGTCACAGGTGGATTCAAAAGCAATTCTGGCGTTTTAATTACTCAATTAAAAGTTTTTTAGGAATAGAAACTTCTGATCTCATAAAAAATCTTGTGAATTCTGAGTTTATATCACAATTCAAATGTACAATTATAATATCACAATTAGACCTTTTTTCTTAAAATAAAACTTTTAGGCTTTCTTGCAATTGTCAACGTATATACAGTTAGGTCCATAAATATTGGGACATCGACACATTTCTAACATTATTTGCTCTATACACCAACACAATGAAATGAATAATAGCAGACTGTCAGCTTTAATTTGAGGGTATTTACATCCAAATCAGGTGAACACTGTAGGAATTACAACAGTTTGCATATGTGCCTCCCACTTGTTAAGGGTCCAAAAGTAATTGAACTGAATAATAATCATAAATCAACCTTTCACTTTTTAATACTTGGTTGCAAATCGTTTGTCTGGAAAGCATGGACAGACACTGAGTTTCGTTCTGGTGGTGCTCTGCCAGGCCTCTACCTTAACTGTCTTCAGTTCTTGCTTGTTTTTAGGGCATTTTCCCTTCAGTTCTGTCTCCAGCAAGTGAAATGCATGCTCAATTTGATTTAGATCAGGCGATTGACTTAGCAATTGCACTTCATTACACTTCTTTTCCCTTCAAAAACTCCTTTGGTTGCTTTTGCAGTATGCTTTGGGTCATACTCAACTGCACTGTGAAGTGCCGTCCAATGGGTTCTGCAGCATTTGGCTTAATGTAAGCGGAAAATATTGCCTTAAACACTTCAGAATTCATTGTGCTGCTTTTGTCAGCAGTCACATCATCAATAAATACAAGAGAGCCAGTTCTATTGACAGCCACACATGCCTATGCCATGTCACTAGTACCACCATGCTTCATTGCTTTGGATCTTGAGCAGTTCCTTCCCTTCTCCATACTCCTCTCTTCCTATCACTCTGGTACAAGTTGGTCTTGATCCCATCTGTCTGAGATGTAGTTCCAGCACTGTGAAAGCTTTTTTAGAACTCTTAATCTGGCCTTCCTGTTTTTGAGGCTCCCCAATGGTTTACATCTTGTGGTGAACCCTCTGTGTTCACTCTGCTGTAGTCTTCTCTTGATTGACTTTGACACACATACACACACCTAACTGCTGGAGAGTGTTCTTGTTCTGGCCAGCTGTTGTGAAGGGTGTTTTCTTCACCAGGGAAATAATACCTTGTTCATCCACCACAGTTGTGTCCATGGTCTTCTGGGTCTTTTAGTGTTGCTGAGCTCACTGCTGCGCTCTTTCTTTTTAAGAATAATCCAAACAGTTGTTTTGGCCACGCCTAACATTTTTCTATCTCTCTGGTTGTGTTTTGTTCTTTCAGCCTAATGATGGCATGCCTGACTGATAGTAACAGCTCTTTGGATCTCATCTTGATAATTGACAACAACAGATTCCAAATGCAAAATGAACTCTGAAATGAACTGGAATTGAACTCTGGACCTTTTATCTGCTCATTGTATTTGGGATATTGAGGCAATAACTCACATCGGGCCGTAGAAAAGCTTAGAAGCCAATAGTCCTATAACTTTTGGACCCTTAACAAGTGAGAGGCACACATGCAAACTGTTGTAACTCCTACACCGTTCACCTGATTTGGATGTAAGCGAAGCTGACAGTCTGCAGTTAAAGCACATCTTTTTCGTTTCATTTAAATCCATTGTGTTTTTTGTACAGAGCCAAAAATGTTAGAATTGTGTCGATGTCCAAATATTTATGAACCTAACTGTATATTGCGATTATTATAGTTTTTATTGTCAAATGTGTGATTTAATATTTACATTGTTTATTTATTAGAGGTGTGAACCAACACTGGTCTCACGGTTTGGTTACGATTGTCATGCCATCGATTCAGTTCAATTTGATATCTCGGTGCATTGACGATGCTTTCCATACACTTTTCCATGCAATTTCAGCTTTTTTTTAGAATTCCAAGAAATAAATGCAAATGAGGTGATGCCAATAATGTATTTTACAATACAAAAAAACTTTACAAATTTTACAAAAACAAAAAAAAAGTCTTAAATGGAAGATATAAACTCTCAATTCTGACATGCAAAGTCAAAAATCCAAACTTGCAATTGTAAGTCAGAAAAGTGAGATAAATATTGCAATTTACCTATTTTAATTATTTTTCTATAAAGTATTCTATAAATGATACTCAAAATTGTGAGTTCGCTATTGTATTTTTGTTGGATTTGCAAGCAAAAGTTGTCGATTTTAATTTCTAGCGCAAAAATTGCTAATAAGAAATTCTTAAACAGTTTTTAGAAGCGAAGTCAGTTATGTAAAATACAGATAAGGTTGTATTAGTTAATGTGATTTAATGTGTTTACTAGCATGAACAAACAATGAACAATACATTTACAGTATTTGTTCACATTAGTAAATGCACCGCGAGTTAAGGAATTAACACTGAACAGATGTATTTTCGTTAACTAATGTTAATAAGTATGAATTTGGATGTTAGTAATGCATTGGTAAATGTTAAACTATGATTAATAAATGCTGCACAAGTATTGTTCATACTTGGTTCATGTTAGTAAGCACAAACTTTATTGTAAAGTCTGACCCAATTATCTATACACACACACACACACACACACACACACACACACACACACACACACACAGTTGAAGTCAGAATTATTAGGCCCCCTGTTTATTTTTTTCCCCAATTTCTGTTTAACGGAGAGATTTTTTTCAGCACATTTCTAAACATGATAGTTTTAATAAGTCATCTCTAATAACTGATTTATTTTATCTTTGTCATGATGACAGTAAATAATATTTGACTAGATATTTTTCAAGATACTTCTATACAGCTTAAAGTGACATTTAAAGGCTAAATTAAGTAAACTAGGCGGGTTAGGGTAATTAGGTAAGTTATTGTATAACCATCAGGGCCGGCGCGTCCATCAAGGCACTCTAGGCGGCCGTCTAGGACAGCAGAATATAGAGGGCGGCGTCCCCGACACTATCCTCACCACCCGCGCCCTCAGTTATATCCGCGTGACCGCGTCTATAGGGCGGCAGAATAGAGAGGATGGCGTCCGCGACACTACCCTCACCACCCGCGCCCTCAGTTATATCCACGTCTAGGCGCCCCCACCCCCGCTTACACTTTAGGGTTGAGGGCGGCAGTTCAACTTTGTTCTGTAGACTATCGAGGAAAAAAATACACCTTTAAGCGGCTAATAATTTTGTCCCAAAAATGGTGTGTAGATAGAATTAAAATCTGCTTTTGTTCTAGCCGGAATAAACTAAATAAGACTTTCTCCAGAAGAAAAAATATTATCTGACATACTGTGAAAATTTTCTTGCTCTGTTAAACATCGTTTGGGAAATATCAGAAAAAAAGTTAAAAAAAAATTAAGAGGGGGCTAATAAGTCTAACTTGAACTGTGTAATATGAGCAATAGCACATGTATATTGGCACTGGTGGGAAGCGTGTGTTGCCTTACTGTGCGTTCACACCTAAGGCGTCAAGAGCGTTAAAAAGTTACTCTGGCCGTCCTGGCGACAACTCTGTCTGCCTTCAGCTCTAGTGGCGAGAGCGTCAAAATTAGCTACATTGATCTCGTATTTAAAGGGGATGTTGCAGCAAATCAGTTACATCCCCGCATAATTCATGCTTTTTAGCATGTAAATGTTGTGCTTTTTTATCAAACTTATTTAACAATGGAAGATCAAGTTGCGTGTGGTGTGGGTTTGCTTTACTTAATTATTTAATGTGTCCCTATGTCTGAAATATCCCGAAGCAGCAATACTGTTTTGTAATGTTGCATGAAATTCCTTTTTTTTTTTTTTAAAGAAAAAATATAACATTAATGCACATCAGTAACTCGCCAGTAACTTTTTTTTTGTATGTTCCTGTAAGAAAACACTGCAAATAATTAGAAAATCCGGCGACCGCAATATTTAAACCCTTAGGAAAAACTGTGGTCGGAGCCAAAGTTCACAGTGACTGTTCTCTGGACTCCTCTCAAGCTTTGGATTTCATTCTGATTGCTTGCCGCAGAACTGTGTCAGCTCATTACCATGAAGCTGACTTGATTTCAACTTTCCTCGACGCTTACACTGGCGAACACGTGCCGCGCTTCTCCCCGTTGCTTATCACCACCGGCTCCCATTGAAAACGAATGACCTCCGGCTACTTTGACGCTCTCGCCGACCTGTCTGAACGTACAGTTTGTGTACCACCATTTATGATATAAAGCCATATCACACTGTTATGAGTGTGATATTGAGTTTATACAACAGTTCAACTGCATAATCGTGTATATATAAAAGAAAATCAAACACGGAGAGTCTCAAAAATCATTTTGTACGCGGAACTACTTTCTTCCACCATTCATTCATATCTCCAGCTGACATCAGAACAGCAGAAACCGTTGCTCATTCACCAACATCACTTCAGAGCTAGTGTTTAAATGATTCTCTAGCGTAATATCTAAAGTGATGACAAAGCAGGTGATTTTGCTCACATTTTAAGATTATAAGGCTGAGCAGCATGAAATGCCATCAGTCTACAGAGATTTCTCAGTATTTCTGTTGCAATCTGGATATCACAACAATTAACAACGAAAAAGCCAAAGCAAACACTAGCAGATTCCTATGGTATGAATACAGCACTACAACATACAAAAGAGAGCGATCGACTTAGAATGTCTCTTACCTGTTTTAAAATTATTTTATCAGCTGTAATTTGAAATGCGAAAAGAAAATGCTGAGTTTTTCTCCTCTGAGGGCTTATTATGCGGTCTCTGGTGCCATCTTGTGGTGCAACCATCTTTGCTTTGCTCAGTATGAAAGGCTGATGGCTGCTTATCTCCGAAATTATGAATATTTAAAATAGGCACTATCCTTATAAATAAACTCAATAGATGCAATCTAAACTACATCCTTGCCTGAAAAAGCCTCAAAAGTACATGATGTTGTCCAACAGCTGCAATATTTGTTGTGAGAACTGTAGAGAACTGTAGTGAGTTTATTGATCTGCTGTCACTCTATGTGGGCGGAGTAATA